CAGAAAACCAATTAATTAATTAAATATTCATTAGGACATTAATTGAATTACAGGTGAAAATTAATTATTTTTAAATTTTATTCATTTTTTCTGTTTATGGCAATTTTTCTATTTAAAACATTAAAAATCCTCAGGTTTCCATTTTTGCTTATTCAATATCAGAATATTATATTAATTAATTGAGGCTATTTTTATATATTTTTTATTTTATTTTTGGTTTAATTAAATATTTAAAATTAATTTTCTAAATGAATTTTTAAAAGGAAAAAAAGTTTTCCGGAAGTGTGAATTTTGGGAGATTTAAGGCTCTTTCGGGCATTATAATTCACTCAAAAATAAACCTTTAGACTTGAAATTTTGCCCATCTATCTACTACACTATCAACTAACTCCACAAAAAATTTCAGATTTTTGGCTACAGTATTTCCAAAGTTATGGGCAAAAATATGACAAAATACTTTAAAAATTCAAAACAAGACAACTTTTTCGACCAGAAATTTCGACATACTTATTCAAAAATTTTGAAATTTTTAGAGATATTAGTTAACATTGTTAAGAAGGTCTGTGTTAAATTTGAAGTCTCTAAGTCTTCTTTTGGCTACGGTATAAACACTCGCGCCCTCTCTGTTTGCGCCTAAATCGATATTTACTGTATTTTGCCCAAGTAATTTTTAAACTTTTAAAATTTAATTATAATTTTATTTTCTTTATTTTTCTCTTTTTTATGTTACAATTAAGTCATCAAATTTAATTATATATTTATTTTTATTTTTTTGAGTCACCACACAAACGTATTATTTTCACACCCTTTTAAGTGGTTATCCCTTAAAGATCCAGGCCATGTTTTGCGTAAATTGTAGCCCTCATATTCAAGCTTATTTTGATATTCTCATTAAAAGAGTACAATTTAGACATTATTAGTAGTATTTTACAAAAAATATTAAACTTTAAAAAATTTTAGATCGTGAGATAATTGCCCTTATATGTAGGCTATTGCCCTTATATAGTAACTATAATTTTAGAAAAATTTTTTTTTTTCCATTTTTTCTCGAGTTGCTAATCTGAAATTATTTTTATAAAATAAAAGACACATTTTTGTGTATTTCTCAAAATTTAAATTAATTTATTATCCCTTTTCTTGTTTAAATTACGAATTTTTATGTAATTAAGGTCACCCACCTAAAGCAAGTTTTTTGAAATTTTCTCCAAGTTTTACTTAATATATAATTTTCTAATTATTTTTGTAAAACAGATCACACTTTTCTGAGTATTTAAAACTTTAAAATTTCCAAAAAACTTATCATCCAACAAAGTTATGATTTTTCAAAGAGTTGTGGTCGCGCACCTCAACCACATCCCTTTAAAATATTTTTCCCTTAAAAATCAACTCTTTCCCTATTAAATTCTAAAACAATTTAGAATATATTTTGACAACCTTTCTACTTATTTTAGTACATTTTAACTATTTTTAAATTTCATTTTAAATTTTAAAATCAACAAAACCGCCCTCCTACCCCTTTAAACATTCTTCTCAATTTTCCCTAATTTTTCCTAATTTTCCCTAATTTTTCCTTATTTTTAACCCAAAATATCAACAATCAGCTTATCCACCTCTAGAAAATATAAAAAAAATTAATTAATTAATTCTCTCCAAAAAACCAAAAAAATCCCCCTACATGGCTACTTTAGGCCACGCCCCCTTTTCTTACTCCCCTCCCCTTTTCCACCAGCCCTTTTAAACATAAATTTTCTCAATTAATTTTCTCTCACTTTCAATTAAATCCCTTTCATTTTTTATTATTTTTAATATTTACGTGAATTCTCGAAAAAAATTTTTTTTCTCGAATTTATTTTTAAAGGTCGTTTGCTGGAAGTGGAAGAAAAAAATTTTTAAAATTAAAAAAAATTAAAGAAAAAAAGATTTCTGGTCTATAACCTTTTATATGGGGAAAAGAAATATTTATTTTTATTTATTTATTGAAATGACGCCAAAAAAGACAAAAAAAATTTTATTTTTATTTTTGGAAGACGCCTGGCATTTTAACTGGAAGCAGGCAAACAATGGGGGAAACGCTCTTTAAATTATTTTTAAATTGCCTGGGGCGATTTAAAAATTTTTTTTGGAATTTTTAAAATCCTTTAAAAAGCCCCTTTTTAATTTTAAAATTAATTAGAAAATGTCAAACTTGAAATTTTAATTTTTAAAGTTTAAACTTGAAGCTTAAACTTGCTTTTTTGCTTGCTCCCTAGCGCCTATATAAATGGGCTTAATTTATTTGCTTTTTGGTCAGTTTATTTTTAAATCTATTTTTTTTCTTTTTAATTTTTGAAATTTTATTTTTATTGATAAGGTGCTTGAAAGAAAAAATTTTTTAAGGGGCTAGGACAAAAAAATTTTTTAAATTTTTTTCTGAAATTTTTATAGTGGTTCCAAAAATTTTTTTTCAAAACATTTTAAAATTTTAAAAAAATTTCGGAAAAATTCTAAAAAAAAATTCAAATAATTTTGAAAAAATTTTTTTTTAAATTTCAGAAAAATTCTTTTCAAAAGATTTTTTTTATTTTTCAAAAATTTTTTCCGAAATTTTCAAAAATTTTAAAACCCTCCTCAACTTAATTTATTTTAATTTTAATTAATTTTTCCTTTAATTTATTACTTTAAAGCTTCATTTCTACCCTTTCTAAGCCTTTTTTTCTTCTTTTTGACGACTGCACTTAATGCAAATTAAAAGCATATTAAAATTAAAAATTATAAATCTCTCTTCTTTAAAAATGTCAAAATCCCCCCCTTTTATCCATATTGCTTCTTAAATATATTTAAAATCCCTTTTTTCTCAGACTCTTTTGAATATTTAAAACAATTTTTTACACTTGCGCATCCCTTTTATTCGCTAAAGGATTAAATCTAAAGGTCTTTCAAGTCCTCTAACTTTTCATAAAGTACAGATACAATTTTAAATTTTATGTCATTTGAAAGGGGAGACTTTAAGCTATAAACTGGCCAAAAATCAAATTGATAGCTTCAGGGCAGATAAAGTTATGAATTTTTAAATTTCTTCCATTTATTTTCCGTTAATTTATATGGGTGCCAAAAATTAAATTGACTTGAGGGTTTTCAAAGACCTCTAACTTTTCTTTCAACCAAGATATAAATTATATTTTTATATCATTTGAAAGAGGAGACTTTAAGCTATAAACCTGCCAAAAATTAAATTGATAGCCTTAAAGCAAATAAAGTTATGAATTTTTAAATTTTATGCCTTTAATTCCCCTTAATTCATTGGATGCCAAAAATTAAATTTACCTTAAGGTCTTCAAAGTCCACAGTTACCTAAAGGATTTTTGCGTCATTTGAAAGATGAGACTTTAAGCTATAAAACTGCCAAAAATTAAATTGATAGCTTCAGGGCAGATAAAGTTATGAATTTTTAAATTTCCTCCCTTTATTTCCCCTTAATTTGTATTTAATGTGTTTCTTGACCTCTAATATTTTTTTAAATATTTTTTTGAATGATGATAGAATTCTAATTTTTATATTTCCAGAAAGTAGCTATTTTAAGCTATTAAATAATTAAAAATAAAATAAAAATATTTTTAGTTTTCTTAAAGTTATGAATTTTTAAACTTATGCTTAAAACATCATCCTTTGCGTGCTCTCAACATGTTTCGAGACCTTCAACTTTTTAATGACTGAAGCTATAATTATGCTTTATATATCATTTGAAAGAGCAGATTTTAAGCTATAAAGTACTTTAGGAAAAATTATTTTTAAATTTAGTCTCTTCAAGCTGCGAATTTTTAAAGACTTCAAGTGAGCAATTTTTAAACTCTACCCCAACGCAAATAAAAATTAATAACTCTATTATGCTTTCATTTTCAAAATTAGTTTCTTATGTTATTTTATAGCCCTTATTCTCCTCTATCGTATGAAAAAAAGATCTCGTTTATATCTCTATTTATTAAAAAGTTATTGCCCTCTAAGTCCTTCGCGACTGCCTAGACCTTATAAACATTTAAATTAATTTGTCATAATTTCAGTGAATTTTCTAGTGAATTATCCTAAGTAGCCTTTAAAGCCGATTTATTTTATTAACTTGAAAGCTTTAGAATACATAATAACATAAAAGTAAATAATTTCCTCGAATATCCTCTTTTGAATATATCCCCTTAAATGTCTAAGTTATTAACATTATTAATTTCCATTTATTTTTATTATTCCGGAAGTGTCCTATTTTTGTATTTTTTATCTCTATTTATTATTTATAGACATATTAAATATTTAAAAACATTTTAATATTTTTTGAATTATTAATTCTTTTTAATTTTTGTTTTTTTGTTGGTAAGGGAATGTCTCATACTGCGCGACCGCAACTTTTTAAAAATTCGTAACTTTGTCTAAAGTTGTGATATTTGCCCATTTTAAAGTTTTAAAATATTCAGAATGAGCTGCTCTATTTTATAAAAAGAATTTAAAAAATATTAAGTCAAGACAACTTGGCGTAATTCTCAAAAGACTAGCCTTAAGGGGGACGACGCCCATATTTTTTAAATTTATAGGATTTATTTAATTATTAAATAATTTTATTTATCAATACATATATTCAAAATTATGTGTTTTATTTTATAAAAAAAGTTTATTTTATGAAAAAAGTTTATTTTTGCAAAATAATTCTAAAATCACTAATTAAAATTATTGCTCAGCCTGCCCTCAACTTTTTAAAATTCCATAACTTTCTCAAACCATATAATATCCTTTTATTTTAAAGTTTTATTATATGCAGAAAAGTGTGCTCTATTTAATAAAAATGACTAGAAAATTTTATTTTAAGTAAAACATTGAGAAATTTTTAAAAAACCAACCTTACCCCCGTTAATTACCGTATACCCTTAATTTAATTAAATTTATTTCTCTCTCAGAAATAAATCTAAAAATAAATTTTAAACATTTTCTAATATTTCAGAATCTTAATTAAATAATAAAATTAAATATCAACAAAAATAATGCCATCAAACAAAAATAGCAACAAAAATGCCAGCCTTCCCCAAATATCCATTTTTCTCCTTATTTTAAATTTTTTAATTTTTTCCTCTATTTTTCCCCTTCTAAAAGCTAATAGACAAACAAAAATGGCAGATTGGCTTTCCAACAAAAATGTTTTTAATAATGAGGAAGCTGATAATGTTGAGGAACCCCCTTCCAACCCTTCCACCAACTCCTTTATTGAAGACTTTATTAAACCCATTATTGGCCCCATTCGTTCCGCTGCTATCCCTTCACGTCCAAATATTCTTGTTTTGATGGTGGATGATTTAGGCTATGGGGACCTACAAAGTTATGGCAACCCAACACAAGAATGGACACCTGTGGATGATTTAATGGCCGAGGGTGTTAGGTTTACTAATGCTTATGCAGCTGATTCTATGTGTAGTCCGAGTAGAGCTGGGTTTATGACTGGTTAGTTTTAGGGGATTTTTAGAAAAAATTTTTAGAGAAGGCCCTAGATATTTTGAATATTTTTATATCCCTTCCCCTTTTCCCTCGAATTAGGGTTAGGGTACGTTCGAGTCGGATTGACGTTCGAGTCATTTTTATCGGGCCGGCCCAGATCGAGTCCTTTTCAAGCCAAAATTCGATGCCTGACTCTATCTTTCGGACCGGCCGGATCGAGCCCCTAACCCTCTTTCCAACCGTCAAATTCTCAAAATGTCCCATACCCATAATGGAGGCCATCACTAGAGGTGTTCCAGGAGGTCTTGCCATACCCACAATGTCCATATTAAAAATTCCAAATTTTTGAAATGTCCCATCCTCATAATGTCCAATTCCCTTATCAAAATGCCCATTTTCTAAAATCTCCAAAAATTTTTCAGGCCGTCTCCCCATCCGTCTAGGAATTGTTGGCGGCAATCGTGTTTTCCTAGTCACAGACACAGGTGGCCTTCCCAAAGACGAACCAACAATGGCTGAAATGTTAAAATTAAATGGTTACCAGACGGGAATGGTTGGAAAATGGCATTTGGGGATTAATGCTTTTAATCATTCTGATGGTACTTATTTACCTGGAAGGAGAGGATTTGACTTTGTTGGATTAAATTTGCCTTTTACAAACAACTGGGAGTGTGACGAAACTAAAGATTATTTTACTAGTGGGCCTAACCCGCTGAAATGTTTTTTGTACAGTGGAGATAAGGTGAGGAAGAGGGGGATTGGTGTTGAGGGTTACGGTATTCTCTCTGTTTAATTTAAATTAGTGACCGGCGGGAGACGGGATCCTGCGGGGGATTTTGCGGGATATCGCTCCCGCAATCCCGCACATTTTTCGATTTTGCGGGAGGGGCGGGATTTTGCGGGATCCCGCGGGATCTGCGGGAGGGGCGGGATTTTACGGGGTTATTCCCGCGGGATCCCCTCCTGCAGACGTTTATAGAAGCTACTCCCGCATGCGGGATCCCGCAAATTCGAGTTTGCCGGTCACTAACTTAGTAAATATTCCATTTCTCAAAATGCCCAAATTTCAAAAAAATTTTCATTTCTTCCCTCCACAGATCGTCCAACAACCAATAAAATTTGAAAATTTAACGGAAGATCTACTCACCGACTGGCGCCGATTTCTCTCAGAACGAGCATTGGCCGATCCAACACACCCATTCTTCTTCTATTTTTCTTACCCACACGTTCACTCAACACAATTTGCTAATCACCAATTTAAAGGAAAATCTGAAAGGGGTAAAGAAAAAATTTTTTTCAAAAAATCCGACAAAATTTAAGGCCTTTTCGGCGACAATTTGAATGAAATGGCCTGGTCAGTGGGAGAGATTATTAGCGACCTTCGCAAGTACGGACTTGATAGAAACACCCTTGTAGTCTTCATGTCTGACCACGGACCCCATCAGGAGCTTTGTAATAATGGGGGGTCTACTGCTGGGCTGAAAGGGGGAAAGTCTAATAGCTATGAGGGGGGATTCAGGTAATCAGAATTTAAAATCAGAATCTAAAATCAGAACAAAAATCAGAAAAAAATCAGAACAAAAATCAGAATCTAAAATCAGAACAAAATCAGAATTTAAAATCAGAATAAAAATCAGAACAAAATCAGAATTAAGTATCAGAACAAAATCAGAATTAAATATCAGAACAAAATCAGAAAAAAATCAGAATTAAAAATCAGAACAAAAATCAGAATCTAAAATCAGAACAAAAATCAGAATTAAATATCAGAACAAAAATCAGAATAAAAATCAGAATCTAAAATCAGAAAAAAATCAGAACAAAAATCAGAATAAAAATCAGAATTTAAAATCAGAACAAAAATCAGAACAAAAATCAGAACAAAATCAGAATAAAAATTAAAATTTTCAGAATTCCTTTTGCTACCTGGATGCCTGGAACTGTAAGACAAGGCGTTGTATCTAACGAAGTAGTCTCATCGCTAGATTTATTCACTACGTTTGAACAAGTTGCGACTTCCGGAGGGAGTGTGAAGGTAAAACGAATTTTGTAAATATTATTATAGTTTCCGGTTAAAAACCGGAAAGTATTAAAACAAATAATAAATAGGGGTAGCCGGAAAGTTAATTTATTAATTATAGAAACTTCCGGTTGATAGAATATATTATCCGTTTCCGGTTATATTCCGATTGATTTTAATTTAATGACTTTCCGGTTATATTTTTCCGGTTATATTTTAATATATTTAAGCTTACGGTTATATTTTACTATTATATAAGCTTCCGGTTAGGTTCCGGTTAATTTCCTGTTGCCGGTCATATTTTAATATAAACTTCCGGTTAAGTTCCGGTTAATTTCCTGTTGCCGGTCATATTTTAATATAAACTTCCGGTTAAGTTCCGGTTAGTTTCCGGTTTCTTTAATTTGTTTCCGGTTAAGTTCCGGTTTTTATTATTTAACTATTTCCGGAAATTTCTAGTCAATTTAATTTATACTTTCCGGTTACTTTATTTATAGTTTCCGGTTGTTTAATTAATTTTTATTATAAACCTTCCGGTTATTGCCTATTTATAACAGAATTAAAAAATCAGAATAAAATATTTAAATATTTAATTCCTTCCAACAGAAATCCGCCTATTTGTCTGACGATTCGTTTGATGCCGATAATGACGAATATTACACCCCTAAACGAAAAACTGATGGAATTAATATTTGGCCAGAATTGCTCGGATTCTCAGCAACTTCTTCCAACGAAAATCAAAAAACTTCAAACGATGTACGTACACACATGCATGGATTGGCTCTAAAAGGATTACCACCGCTTAGCGAAAGACGCCCAATATTTTTTTATTGTAATAAAAATTTAATGGCTATACGTTGGGGAAATTATAAAGTTCATTATATGACATCGCCAATCTTCAAAAATTTTACTAAAGACCCTAACTTGGAGGAATTCTGTCCTGATGGAAAGCCGAGGGCTGATTGGTTAGTTGATATTGTTTTGTTGTTGAAAATCAGAACTTCAGAATTTAAAAATTAGAATTTAAAAATCAGAATTAAAAGTCAAAATTACAAATCAGAATTAAAATCAGAATTTATAAATCAGAATTAAAAATCAGAATTAAATTTCAGAATTTATATATCAGAATTTACAATCAGAATTTATAAATAAGAATTTAAAAATCAGAATTAAAAATCAGAATTAAAAATCAGAATTTAAAAATCAGAATTTAAAAATCAGAATTTAAAAATCAGAATTAAATTTCAGAATTAAAAATCAGAATTTATAAATCAGAATTTAAAATCAGAATTTAAAAACCAGAATTTCCATAGTATATAAATCAGAATAAAAACCAGAATTTATTAATCAGATCAAAATCAGAATCAAATACTAGAACAAAAGTCAGAATTCAGAACAAAATCAGAAAATATAATTCATTAAGTATAAATCAGAATTAAAAATCAGAATTTAAAAATCAGAATATTTCCAGGTATGTCAGCCAAACCTGCCCAGAAAGCCAATTAATTCGCCACGATCCTCCACTCGTTCACGATTTATATCGCGATCCTTACGAACTCTACCCGCTTGTGGATACAGGAGATAAAGGGGTTGTGGCACGTGTTCTAGCTAAAGTTGGACGTATTTTGGTAGAACATTTGGATTCTATTGTTGATGTACCCCCACAATTGGGGCATTTTTCAAAAGCTGTTAATCCGGTAAATTTAAGAAAAAATCAGAATAAAAATCAGAACAGAAACTAAAAAATTATTTTTAGTGTTGCAATCCCCCACTTTGCAAATGCAACTTATTAAGCTCTTCAGCTAACCGTGAAGGTATAGACGATTTATTCGAAGAAGACGATTTCTAATTTAATTAATAATTTTAGTTAATTAAAATAATATTGCAATTATTTTAGTTTAATTAATTTTAAACATTCCCTTCCTTTTAATTTTAATTAAATTTTCCTATTTTTATTTTTCCTATTATTATTTTTATTCCTATTTTTAATTTCAGGGTTGTCGATATTATTCAAGAAAAAAATTTTTTTAACTGTCGAATCTCTTACCCCCACTTAATCCCTCAAAATTATTCTCCTTTCAGTTTTCTGCACCACTCAAAAAAAATTTTTTTTCGACTGGTCCAAGTTGGAGGGAGATATGCCTGAGCGATACCTCCATTCAACCAAACTTACACCCTCTCTTTAGTGTAGGACCCAGTTTTAGTGAACGCTTTTCTGTCTGTCAGACTATAAGGAGGATCGACTGACTCTTCTTATAACTAGAGACCGGACTGTGAGTGTCTTACGAGAATCAAGATCTCGAAAAAATTCTCAATCTCGATAACCGCGATTTTTCGTTCGAGACCTAGTCTCTCTTTTCTCTCTAGTTATATTTACCAAAATCACCATTAAAAAAATTTTTTTCATCCTATAGAATATTTTTAGACATTTTACTAATTACTAGTTATGTTTACATATCCCACATATTTTTCTGATATTTTTAATTTTTCTTTAATTTTAATTTTTTTTTAATTTTTTTAATGAAAAAGAGTCTCTCTCCCAACACTTTGATAATCCAACACTTGAAAAATAAAAAAAAATTTTTTTAAATAAATTATGAGAGACTCTTCTTTATTTTCCCAATTTATTCATTAGCCCCAAAAATATTAAAATTCTTTTTTTTATTTATTTTTAAAAATAAAGTTGAAAATGTGTATTTTTTAATTAAAATTAGCTAGTAAGGGTTAATTATACATAAACCAAATTAATAATGAAACAAGTAATTAAACTTTCCGGAAAAACATTTTCCGGAAGTAGACTAAAAGTATTAAACATTATAAGGAAATATAGAACTTTCCGGAAACAAATAAAATAATAAAATAGAACTTTCCGGAAAACAAATATGAAATTTCCGGAAAGAGAATAGAACTTTCCGGAAAAACATTTTCGTGAAAAACATGTTCCGGAAATTGAATTATATTGCACAACATTATATTAAATTAAAACTTTCCGGAAAATAATAAAATAATTAAATTCCGGATTTATTAAATAATTCCGGAAAACCCTTTCTCTGGAAAAACATTTTCCGGAAATGTTTTCCGGAAAAAACATTTTCCGGAAATAGAATAATTAAATATCATATTAACCTTAATCTTTCCGGAAAATAATTAAACAATAAAATAAATTTTCCGGAAAACCCTTTTCCGGAAAATTAATATAAAAGAGATTAAAAAGCTTCTTACAATAATAGATATAGAATTATAATTTAATTACAATTAATATTTTTTCGATTAATTAGGTACCCAGGGTATTTCATTGAATTAATTTTAATTTTCAACCTTTATCTCTATAATAGATATCAAATTAATTTAATAGCTTTGGGCGAAAAGTTGCAACTAGTTTTTGCACAATTTTCGTTTGGTTTACATTCACTTGTTGGATGCATCTCCGAGGTTATACCGCGTATACCACGGTATTCTTGACATAAAAATGAAATAGAATTATCGACAAATACGTTGGAGATTGACATTTTGTCGCCAAGATTGGTGTTTAGTGCTGGAAAAATTTTAATTTGTAACTAGTAAAAAAATTTCAAAATGTCAACTTACATATCACTGAGAGACCAGGTCCGTGAAATTTGCAGTTTGTCATTTTAATACTTCTCTGGTGTTGGACACAATCCATTCCGCAAGAACGCCAACACTTTCCAAATCCTTCAGCACAAAATCCAGTAATTGTTGTCTGGCCAGCGCCAGCTTGAGTGAAAATCTTTAAAACAAATAATAATTTAATATTTTGAAAGTTAATAATTTTTATATACCTTATCTGGTGCATTCCGAGCTCCTCCACCGATTATATTATAGGTTTTGGGAGTTGGATCCGCGCTATTCCCCAAGTCTGCACCGTGATAGCAAATTTTTTCAAAACTTAAGGAAATAAATTAATAGAATAATTAAACCTTCCGGAAATATTTTCCGGAAAATGATTATTAAATATTTATAGTATAGTTTCCGGAAAATATTTTTTAATCTTTCCGGAAATTATTCCAACTTTTCCGGAAAATATAAAACTTTTCCGGAAAATATAAAACTTTTCCGGAAAATATAAAACTTTTCCGGAAAATATAAAACTTTTCCGGAAATTATTCCAACTTGAAAATAAACTTACAAAACATTTTCCAATGTACACCCTCCTTTACACCAAATTCCTCTCGCCGCATCTCCAATAATTACATTTTTTACATGACCTCCATCTTCTACCTCTATTATATTCTTGCCATTAACTGATCCTGGAATAGTGCAAGCTTTACGTAAGGCAGAAGTTGCAACAAGGCGAACATAGCCAAAATCTTTTGTTCCGCTAACTGGGCTTTAATTGGAAAAAAATTATTTTTTAAGTCTGATTAAATTTTAGTATTAATTTGCTTCAAGTACAATATTTTTTATTTGTTTCTTAATTTTTTCAAGTTTAATGTTTTTAAGTTTGTTAAAGATTATTTAAAGCTAGATTATTATTTTAAGATTGATCTTAAGTTTTCAAGTTTATTTAAAGTTTATTTATTGCTTAAAGTTTTAATTTCAAGTTTATTATTAAAATGCTTCAAGTTTAATTTACATAATTATTTAATCCAAGTTTAATTGCTTAAAGTTTTAATTATTAATATTCAAGTTTATTTATTCTTTTAAGTCTGATCTTAAATTTTCAAGTTTTATTTATTTTTAAGTTTGATCTTAAGTTTTCAAGTTTACTTAAAGTTTACTTATTGCTTAAAGTTTTAATTTCAAGTTTTATTATTAAAATGCTTCAAGTTTTAATTATTAATATTTTAAGTTTGTTAAAGTTTATTTATTGTTAATTCAAGCCTGATCTTAAGTTTTCAAGGTTTATTTATTTTTGCTTCAAGTTTAATCTTGTAATTAATTAAATATCAAAACTTGTTTCAAGTTTTATTTTTATCCTTACATTGTAGTGTCTTGCGGAACAGTTTTTGTTGCTGGAGGAAACTTGCAGAAATTATCTGCTTCACATTTATTAATTAATGAAGCAATAATATAAAAAATAATAAAAATATTAATAAAATATTTTGGAAGCATTTTTATTAATTTTTGAATTTTTTGAATTTTTAGGAATATTTATTTAATTATGTGAAGCATTGTAATTCCTCCTCCCTCTTTTAAACCCACTCATTTGACGATCAAAAATTATTTTTAAAATCACATGAAATTTAAAAAAAAAATTTTTTTTGAATGATATTTCTCAAAATTTTTAGTTGATTTAGGTAAATAAATTAAAAAACCCCCCAATTTATTTTAAAAAATTATTTAATTAGTTGTTTCAATTTCCGGCTATTTAATTCAATAAATTTTTTTTTAAATTTTTCATGAGTTTTTTTTTGAAAAATAAATAAAGAATAGTCTTAAAAATTATTCTGCATAAATAGTCTTGGGACAGCAAAATTTAATTTAAAAATTTTTTTTAATTTTTAAAAGAGACAAGAAGGGAAGTTGAGAGAGGAAAGTTTGGGAAGGGAGCAGCCCAACCTACCGCCGAGGCTATAACTTCTTTCAAAATTGTCGAATCCAGGAAGCCTTAGTATGGTTCGATACGCCTCGACGAGCTGAATCCAACCATACAAAATTGTCTAGATTCGACAATTTTGAACGAAGTTATAGCCTCGGCGGTAGGTTGGGGTGTACCCGTTTGGGACAAAACTTGAAGGTAGAGGGGGGGAGGGGGAGAGTATTGTATGGCAGGGAAGGATTTTTTCTCCCCCTTCCGCCTTCCGTCTTCCGCTTTTTAGACTTTCTTCCGCGCCAAAAATACACTCCTTAAAGACGGCCTTATTTTAGCAATAAATCTTGTCCTTCCTAAAATTTATCCTGGTTCCAAAAGGGAAGAGATCTGGCAAAAAATTGGCCTCTTGGCTCTTGGCCTATCAAGATTCTCAAAATTTCGCCTGGCGCCTCTTCCCTCTTCTCCAAAAAAATTTTTTTTGATATCCTCACAGATATCCCCAAAATTGCCTCAAAATTCCCTTCCTTCCCTTTATCTTCTAATTTAAAAAATTTTTTTAATTTTTGCAAAAATTTTTTTTCTATAAAAATTCTATACTAGATTTTACAACGAATTGCGTCAATTGCCAAAAAAATTTTTTCTTACCTCACAAATTTATTTTTTTCAAATTTTTATTTATTCATCCACCCCTACTTCCTCTCACTCCTCTCCATAATTATAATTTATTTTCCGCGGTTCAGCTTCAAAAAAATTTTTTGCTGGGTTTTATGAGAGAGGGAATAAGCCTCTAAAGCGTTAGAGTAATAGAGGAGTTTTTTAAACGTGGATTTTTAATTTTAAAAATTTCCCTGACTTGTGAGAGGTGGAGGTGGTGGAGGGGAAATATTGGAATGATTGAGGCTTCTAGAGAGTACGAGACTTATGGGACTTCTAAAAAAAAATTTTCTCTAAAAGTTAAGACTTCTAGACTACAGACCTCTACGAGACTTCTTCGGAGACCTCTATGAGACGTCTTCAGAGACTTCTTCTACCTTAGGTACTCTTGGGTAGGTGCTTGTGTAGTTCCCCCCCCCCCCCCCCCCCGTAAGTCCCGCCCACATTCTCACCTTTCTTCCTTTTAATTAAAGAGCCGGCTTTCAGAATTTTTATTATATTTTATTCTTTTTTTAAGTCCATCCACTTGAGGCAGTCAGTCCTTGGAAAATCTGTAAATATCCAGAATCGAAACGAAATGTCGAAAAATTTTATTTTAAACACAAAAAAGGATCAAAAATAAAAGAAATTTTCAGTATATTAAAAAAAAATTTTTTTTAAGTTTAATTTTTATTATTTTTGCTTCAAGTTAATTTATAGAAAAAATATTTTTTAAATAAAATTATCAATTAAATTCTCCAAAATCAATTTTTTTCATACCACATGAGGTGTATTTCCTGCCTAAAATTAAATAAAAATATAAAAAAATTAAAAAAAAATTTTTTCCTTAATAAAATTTAAAAAATAAAATTTAAATTTAAGCCTAAATAAATAAATCTCATTAAATTCTATTTTTTTTTAATTTTTAATTTTATAAAATTGCTTAAATTAATAATAAAAAATTTTTTCAGAGTAGTTTATGCTTCTAAAATTGCCAACTTGATTAAATATTAATTTAAAACTTGAATTTTCATTTAAACTTGAAGCAAGTTTGGGTGGTAATAAATATAGATAGTGAGGCTTTATTTTATTCATTATTCGAAAAAAATTTAAAAAAAAAAATAAAAAATGCTTCAAAAATATTTTATTAATATTTTTATTATTTTTTATATTATTGCTTCAATAATTAATAAATGTGAAGCAGATAATTTCTGCAAGTTTCCTCCAGCAACACAAACCATTCATCAAGACACTACAATGTAATAATAAAAATAAAACTTGAAACAAGTTTTGATATTTAATTAATTATAAGAAGGAACTTGAAGCAAAAATGGATAAAACTTGAAATTTTAAGATCAGACTTAAAATAATAAATAAAACTTGAAATTTTAAGATCAGACTTAAAATAATAAATAAAACTTGAAATTTTAAGATCAGACTTAAAAGAATAAATAAAACTTGAAAACTTAAGATTAGACTTGAAGGAATAAATAAACTTGAACAAACTTGAAAATATTACAATTAAAACTTGAAGCAGTTAAACTTTCATTAAATAATTATGTAAATTAAACTTGAAGCATTTTAATAAAACATGAAATTAAAACTCTAAGCAATAAATAAACTTTAAATAAACTTGGAAACTTAAGATCAAACTTAAAATAATAATTTAGCCTTAACTAATCCATAACAAACTTGAAAACTTTAAACTTGAAAAATTAAGAGGACACAGAGATATAAGTATATTAAAACTTGAAGCAAGTTAATCTAAAATCTAATCAGACTTAAAAAAATATTTTTTTCCACTTTAAGCCCAGTTAGCGGAACAAAAGATTTTGGCAATGTTCGTTATGTTGCAACAACCAACTTGCGTTCTGAATGTTCTGTTGATGCTTGTGCTAAAGCTTCTAATATAATAGAGGTAGAGGATGGAGGTCATGTAAAAAATGTAATTATTGGAGATGGGGCCAAAGGAATTTTGTGTAAAGGATCATGTATATTGGAAAATGTTTTGTAAGTTTATTTTTAAGTTGGAATAATTTCCGAAAAAAGTCTTAATGATTTCCGGAAAATTTTTTAATGAGTTCAGGAAAAGTTTTAATAATTTCCGGAAAAGTTTTAATTATTTCCGGAAAAGTTTTATATTTTCCGGAAAAGTTTTATATTTTCCGGAAAAGTTTTATATTTTCCGGAAAAGTTTAATTACCTATATTATTTTTATTATTTAAAGCTTTGAAAAAACTTGCTACCATGCTGTTGATTTGGGAAACAGTATGGACGGAACCCCAAAAACTTATACAATAATAGGAGGAGCAGTTACAAATGCTATAGACAAAGTTTAATAAAAAAAATAATTTCTCCTTAATAAATTTTTAAAAGATTTTCACTCAAGCCGGGGCTGGTACTACAACAATTACTGGATTTTGTGCCGAGAATTTTAGTAAAGTTTGGCGTTCTTGTGGAATGGAATGCAATCAGTTTAAAAGAAGTGTTATTATAACAGATAGTAAATTTATGGGTCCCGGACTTTCGATTATTTGTAGGCTTTAAAATAAATTAAAACTTGAAGCAAATAAAATTAGAAACTTTAATCACTTAATTAAATAAACTTGAATTTTACAAACTTGAAGCAAAACTTGAATTATGATTAATAAATTAAGCTTGAATTAATTTGAAGTTTTAATAATTTCCGGAAAATTTAATTTATATGTAAATAAAACTTGAATTGATTAAAACTTAAAACTTGATCAACAAATAGAACTTTAAAATAAACTTGAATTAATAATTAAACTTTAAGCAAAACTTGAATTATTTAAAACTTGAAGCAAGCTTCTATTTATCTATTTTTAAGCATTAAACACAAACTACCACGACACCATGTCAGTTTCAAATATTCAAATAGACGGACAAATATGCTTTGGATGTCAAGAATATAAGGGAATTGAGGGAAGTTCAAATAATATACAACCCCAGGCCCAGTGTAAACCAACAGAAGACTGTCAAAAGACTTCTTGTAAATATGCTCAGACTGCGTTTAAAATAGGGCCTGATTATAAAAATTGTGTTAGTGGGTTGCAACGATCTGGGAAAAAATAAGATTTTGATTATCAGGTGGAAAACACTTTCTCTCATTCTATTCATTATCAGGCTTATTGTATCCTCTTTCTCGCTCTAATTCCACTCTAATTCCATGCTAGTTTCTAATCACCCTGTCAGTAATACACTAAAGTACCCCCACCTTATCATTCGACTCTCTTAGTTATCCCTCTCTCTTTGAGACATCCCACTTCCCTCAGTTATTCCATATTTTCACTTATCCCCTCTCCAAGCTATTCCATTTTTCGAGGTATCCAACACTGATACCTCCAACTCTCTTAGTTATACCCCTCCAAGGTATCCCACTCTCAGTTATCTCACCCTCAGTCCAAAGCATATTAATTAGGGTTGGGGGCCCGGTCAGAAAAATAGAATCTGGCACTGAATTTTGGCCTGAAATAGACTCGGTGTCCGGTCCGATAAAAATGAGGCCCGGAAGGAATAACTCGAACGTCGGCCGACTCGAAAACCCAACCCTATAAGGGATCAAGAGTGGATTACCTTGGAGTGTCTATTAGAGATGTCCGAGACTCTTGGTCTTGGGTTTTGATTCCAAGACTCTTCTTGGGTTTTTCGGTCTTGGTCTTGGGTCTTTGGGTCTAACCTTGGGGTCTTGGTCCTGGGGTCTAACCTTGGTGTCTTGGAGTCAAGTCTTGGTCTTGAGTCTTGATTGGAAAATTTTCGGTCTCGGACGTCTCTAGTATCTATTGTATTAACCAAAAAATATTTTAAAATGTCGACTATTGTCAAACAATTTCAACTATTTTTAGTCATCTTTATTCAATTTTATTATATAAATTTTTTCAAGAATTTTTTTAAAAAAATAAATATACAAAGGGAACAGTTAAACAAACTTTAAAGTAGAAGGGAATATACACCTCTCGTTGAGTCAAAAAAATCTGCAGAGGGGTAAACGTGGAGGATAAACAAACAAACTATAAAAATATATAATTTTTTATTTATTTTAGTTTATATTTTTTTTTCTTTCCATTTTCTCTCCAAAAATTTTCAAAAAAATATATTTTACCATCGTATAGAGCATCGTCGATAACCTATTGCCAATTTTGGCTTTTTCTCTCTACCCCCCCCCCCCAATTCCCCCTGACCCCCAACTCCCCTATCCGTTAACTAACCAATTTTTAAAATCGTCTCTTATATAGAGGTGTCTCTTATATTGGGGGTGTCTTATAGAGAGGTCTGCCTGTATTCTACCTTATACTGAGTGTAGCCTAAATGGAGGGTATCCTTTGGCGTTTTCTCCACACGGTAGCTAACCAATTTATCGTCTCTTATATAGAGGTGTCTCTTATATTGGGGATATCTTATAGAGAGGCATGTCTGCCTTTTACCTTATAACGAGTGTCTCTTACATGGAGGGTATCCTTTGGCGTTTTCTCCACACGGTAGCTAACCAATTTATCGTCTCTTATATAGAGGTGTCTCTTATATCGGAGGTATTGGTGTCCATACATTTAAATAATTTTTTAGCATTCTAAAAGAATGGAAAATAAAATTACTTGGGACCACTTTGGAAATAAATTTCATATTTATCTTAATCAGGATGACGTCTTGCCTGGGAACGATTTAGTTGAGGTTTTGTATGGAAAGGCTAGAGAAGTTCTGCCTGAATTTAGAGGGGCGTTGGCCTGTGAGGATGAATTTGGACATGAGGTTTTTTGGATTATAACGAAAACCTCTTTATAAACAACTTCCTTTATAAGGCTATACAGAGGATTTGATGTGTGAAAGGGTATTGGGATAAAGGTTATTGGGGTGTCTCTTAAATAGAGGTGTCTCTTATATTGGGGGTATCTTATAAAGAGGCCTGTCTGTATTTTACCTTATACTGAGTGTAACTTAAATTGAAGGTATCCTTGGGCGTTATATCACTAGAGAGAGACTGTAGAGAGATAGTACAGCCAGTGCTGGGTATGGCTCCTAAGCCCGGGGCTTGGAACCAACAAATGCCCAATACCTAACACTGGTACAGTCTACTATAGAGAAGGTACACAAAATAGAGGGGTAACCTATAGAAAACTGGACATATGGATGGATCGATTCTCTAAGTTAGCCCCCTGTTTCAGTCCACTTTCCAACCTCTTAGAGCAAGATTTCTGAACGATAACTCTCGATCCTTTCCTATCCTATCTCTCACTTACCCCAAACCATTGTAGATTCCGAGCTATTTTTATTTTGAATTTTTAAAGATTTTTCTGAATAATGACAACCAATTGCGTTCAATCCTCACCCAGAGAGGCAACCGGCTTCGAATACATACAACTCTAACGGGCACGACTCCGAGTCATTTAGCGGCTTCTGATTTTTTTGAAGGAAGTATGGCAGGAGATAGAGAAGTTCATGAGAGGGAAACTGATACTAAAAATGTAAGTAACCCTGGACATCTTTGTATATTTTCCATTAGTTGACATTTTGACATTTTTCTAGATAGGTGACATTTTGACATTTTTTGGCTTTCTGACCATTTTGACGTTTTTTGGCGTTCTGACCATTTTGTCATTTTTTGGCCTTCTGACCATTTTTACATTTTCTGACGTTCTGACCATTTTGACATTTTTGTGGCTTTTTGACATTTTGAAATTTTTATAGAAATATTGGCGTTTGTAAATAATTTAAATTTCTAATTTTTTCAATTTTATTCCAACAGAAAACAAAGCCTCCCCCTTCCGGCAAACTAAAAACACCCGTAACAACCACCAACATCTGGCCATTTCCCATGTTTATTAGAGGAAGTTGGATTGGGCCAAATAAATTTATTGGAGGTGGATATTGGGGCGGAGTAGGCCCTATACCTTCTAATCGTTATTGGCATACTGCTGCTGGAGGTAGACCTCCTTGGTGAATTCTTGCGAGATAAACAAAAAAATTTTTTTGAGGATTTTCAAGGTACATCCCGGCGCGCGCCAAAAACGGCGCCTAGCCATAACTTGCTTCAAAATTTTCGAATCTTACCAAATTTGGTATTAAACGACTCCTCTCATCGAGCTAAAGAGTTTGGTACCAAAATTGATAAGGGCCAAAAATTTTCCAGCAAGTTATGGCTCTGCGCCGTTATGGGCGCGCGCCGGCGTGTCCCATAATTTTCTTCTTTTTTAAATAGGAAATTTTGTAACAGAAAAAAAATTTTTTTTAATTAACAAAAAATTTATTTTCTTAAAGAAAAATAAATAATGTGAAGGAAATTAATTAAATTTATTATTATTATTTATATATTAGAATATTTTTAAATATGCTTTTATAATATCATTTTTTATTTTTATGACAAGATTAAGTGAGAATTGAGAGAGAAAATGAGGGGAGGGGTGGGTGACAAGGGCGTAGCCAGGGGATCTATTTCAGGGGGCTTCTATTGAGGGGTTATTTCAGGGGGGGCTAACATTGGGTGTGCGCCAAAATTTTGGCGTTTACCTTGGCGTTCCCTGCCCTCTTGGCTACGCCCTAGGTGAGTGAGGGAATAGAGGGGGGGAGGAAATCTAAATCTAGAGGTTAGAGAAGTTCGAATTTTTTGATTTTTTTTAACATTTTGACAATTTTAGGATTTCAAAAAAAAAATTTTTCCAAAAAAAAATTTTTTGCAATTTTCAAAAAAATTTCCAAAAAAATTTTTCAAAAAAAATTTTTTGAAGAAAATTCAAAAAAAAAAGATTTTTAAAAAAATTTCTTCAAAAAATTTTTTGAAAAAAATTTCAATAGGCATCGAAAAATTAAAAAAAAAACAAAAAAAATTTTCAAAAAAATTTTCTTTCCAATTCGAACCCCCAAAAAAAATTTTTTTCAAAAAAAAACAGTGCATGAGAGAAAGAAAGGTAGGTAGAGAGGCACGAAATTATAATCAATGAGAGTAAACAGAAAAAAAATAATATTTTATGTGTAGAACAAACCCAAACGAGAGAAAAAAAAATTTTTTTTAATTTAAAATTCAGCGATGATAAACACGCGAAACAAGCTTTGGCTGTGAGTTACTAGGTCCAACATTTGTCATTGATCCAATAGAATTTACACATTGACGTTGTTGTTTTTGAACTATCCAATCGAACATCCAGTCATACTTGAAAATTAATAAAAAATTTTTTGAAAAATTTCGAAAAAAAAATTTTCGACCCCCCCCCCCAAAAAAAAAATTTTAGAAAATTTTTAGCTAAAAAATTTTCAAAATTTTTTTTTAAAAAAACGTTTGGACAAAAATTTTTTTGACATTTTTGGTAATTGAAAATATTTTTAAAAAATTCTTAAAATTTTTTTTGGATGTTAAAATGGAAAAAATATCAAAATGTAAAAAATCGGAAGCGCCAAAAAAAAAATTCAAAAAAATTTTTCCATTTTGACATTATAGTATTTATTTAATTTTTTCCAAAAATTCAAAAAAAAAGCCCAGTACTAATACCCCTCCCAAAAAAATTTTACAAAAATTTGAAGAAAAAACAAATAAAAACCTCATATTTACAAGAAAAACAGAGCCTTTGAAACGGCTTACGCAAGTGATTATAATCTGGATCTTGTTCAAAACCTAATTGACGGCAATATGTTAAATACATTTTGAATTCTTCGGGATATCCACGACACAAATTTTCAATTGAAGTTGACATTTTCTTTAAAAGAAGAAAAATTTTTTAATAAAAAAAAGAAAAATTTTTGTAAACCCCAAAAGTCCGCAAATTTTTGTCCGCAAAAATTTTTTTATCCGCAAAATTTTTTTGTCCGCATAAAAAAATTCTGCAAGCCCATAAATTCACTATATTTGTTTATTTTACAAATTTAAATATTTATAAAGCAAAAATAAATCATTTATCGACCAACGGATTCGAACCCGAGACCCTCCATTTTTGTTACATAAACCACTAGACCAATGAAACCAACTTTTTTCAAAAGAAGTTTTTACTAGTTTGCGGACTAAATTAGCGGATTTTTGGGGGCATAAAGAGAATATAATTTAAAAAAAAAATAAAAAAAAACCTTTTCACTAATTCTCTCATATTTTTGCTTTGTATTGTTAGCTACCAAACCTTGCCAACTTTAAAAAAATAAAAATAAAGGCGGAGTGAGAGAAATTTAAACTGATTCTCCTCTACACAACAAGAAAATAAGAAAAGGAATGGAGGAAAGAATTACCAAAACGATTTTTAGGTAGATGACCCTTCCGAAAATTCCAAAAAAGAATAAAAATCTCCCAAACTCTCCTTCAAAAAATTAAAAAAAAATGCCTAAAAATTCTCTAAAATTAACCACAAAAAAACCCCTTTCTCTCAAAAAAATTATTTAAAAAAATAAAAATAAGGAAAAGAATGGAGGAAAGAATTACCAAAAAACACTCTTTAAATAGGCCCCCCCCCCTTCTCCTCAAAAAATCCCCAAAAAATAATTTAAAATCTCCCAAGCTTCCCTTCAAAAAAGCCTAAAAATCACCAAAATCTCACCCACAAATCCCCTCCCACTCTCACAAAAAAAATTTTTTTAATTAAAAAAACACCTTAAAATCTCTACCCTTCCTCTCTCAAAAAAATTTTTTTAGAAAGTAAAAAAAACTAAACGGCAAACTTCCTCGATTAAAATACATCAAAACATAACCCAAAGATTCCAAATCATCACGACGAGACAATTCAATGCCTTTATGAGCATTTATAGAAGCATAACGAGCCGTTCCAGTCAACGATTTTTTGTCTCTATAGGGAATGTGTACTTTTGTTCGAGGATTTTTGAAACGCTTGGCTAATCCAAAATCAATCATAAACACAGTTGTTGAATACATTCCGAGACCCATAAGAAAATTGTCTGGTTTTATATCCTTTAAAAATAAAAATAATTTTTAAAAAAAAGGGGTGTTGAGAGGAGAAAGAAACGTAGGATGGGTGGTAGATCCTGGGAAAATAATTTTTTCTGAACCCAAAAAGAATTTTCAAAGAATTCTTAAACGGTGGTTTGGATTAGGGATGACTGATTGAGAAAAAAAACACGAGATGCTAGTTGACGGATTCTAAGAAAATTGTCTGAACCCAAAATTTTTTTTAGAAAAATCCGGGCATTTTCCCTGTCTTGAAAAAAGGGATATGACAGGTTAGAAAACTTCGAATCTGGTTTTCAAAAATTATCTTCGGATAAGGTTTCGGATACAAAGAACGTCCGAGACCCATCCCCGCCTGGATCAGCCCCCACTTTTGAATTTTCCCGGGGTCTATTTCTCTTAAATTTTTCCCTTTTCTCCTTAATAAAGGGGCAATTTGTCCAAAACGCCTTAAAATAAAAAGAGAAAAATAAATTGAAGGGATAAATATCCCAAAAAATTAAAAAAAAATAATAATTAAAAAAATACCCGATGAATAAAAAAATTATTGTGCATAAATTCAATACGCGTAATCATCTGTTCGGCAAGCATAAGAACTGTCTAAAATTTAAATTTTTTATTAGATTATTTAAAAACAATTAATGGGTAGGGGGGGGGGGTTCTCAAGGAAGGGGAAAAGCCAGGTCTTGTGATTCGGTCCCAAAAAGAGTCCATGTTTCGAATTTTGAATAACCCGGGCTGTCCCTGAAAGCATTGCTTCATTAAAATACTCCAAGTGGGATAAAATGTCACCTCGACTAAAAATTACTATTTGAACGATAATTGCCCAAAACCTCTTCCCAATTAATTGTTTTTTTTCAAAAAATAAAACCTTCAAAGAAAAACGTCGCTGACAAATGTTGAACAAATCCTCCAAAGAATGACCCAACAAATCCATCACAATGCAATTATAATTATTTTCAACCCCCGAATACTGTACGCGAGGAATTCCAACACCAGCAGAAAGAAGGGAATAAACCTTGCTTTCATATACAAGTTGTTGGTGTCTTGCCTATAAAGAAAATAATTAATTTTTTTAATTAAAGGGGTAAAAGATTGCCCCTTATTGGGAGAGGAAACTTAGGAATAAACCTTGGGTGTTTCGTTAAAATAGTCCAAGTGGGATAAAATGTCACCTCGACTAAAAATTCGCATTTGAACGACTAATTGCCCCAAAACCCCACACTAAAAGGATTTCTTCATACACCCAATAGGGAAAAATAAGAATTGGTGAATGTGGTGGAGTAAGCGCTAGCCACCTTATTTTAAGGGAAAAGCAAAGAGTTATTGGATAAGATGTCATCCCCCTCTCCCCTGATGCTCCGCCCTCAAGACAGTAGAGAAGTTTTCGGACGAGCTTGAGAATTCGGCCGCCCCAAATTTAATCAAATTGGGTATGATTCGAAGTAGTTCATCGAGCTGTGTCGAGGAAATAAGTTAAGGAATGGTTCTAATGGGCTGTTTGGTTTGCTGGGCTCAGTACAGGCTGTGAATAGAAAGGGATGACTGTAGGAATGAGTCCTCTAGCTGTTCAACTCTCCTCCTTCTCTTCAAAATTCAGGAGGTTTTCCTGGGCTAGGGACAGATTGGAGAGGAGAGGAATGCCTGTAGGAACGAGTGGAGTATTCACGGAGGTTAGGGGGTGTTCACGGAAAGGACGTCCTTCTCTAGCTCCTCCTCCTCTTCTTAATATCAGAGGAAGGCTACTTTCCCCTATTAACGACTAACCCCAATAAATCTCCGACAAACCTGTCATCAAAAAAAATTTCAAAAAAAAATACATGAATATGCTCCATTTTTACAGCAACTTCCTCTCCAGTTTGTAAATTAATTGCCGAAAAAATCTCCCCAAAAGATCCACTCCCAATTTTTCTTTTGATTTTGTAGCAATCGGCAATGACAAAATCCTTTGAAATAAAAATTAATAAAGTTGAAATTCAAAGTTTATACGTTAGTTCCTCTGAGTGCCATCAATTACAATTGAGAACTAATTTAATTTAAAAAATCAAAAGAAATTTTTGTTG